CGCTTGTCGCGCCTGCGCCCCTCCTCTGGGAGCGCGCTCAGAGCTTCCTGCGCTCGGTGCCGGCTCGGAGACCCCAGCTCCGTCCGCCCGCCAGCGGAGCAGAAGAGGCGGCTCCAGCCCCGGCTCCCTCCCGCCATCGAACTTCCACAGGCGCCTTCAGCCCCGGCTCCGGCTGCTTCCGTCGGAACCCGCGCGGCAGCGGCTCCGGCCCCGACCCGCTTCGCCCCGGCCCCGCCGCGTCCCTGCGCCCGCCCCGCCGCGCTTCGTCCTGGCTCCGCCACACCCCGCCCCCGTCGCTCCGCTGCTCCGGAGTCCGCTTACCGTGGCCGCCATCGACGCCGCCTCCGCCGCCGCCTTTCCCTCACAGCACCCCGCTTCTCCTCACGCGCTGTGGAAAACGTCTCTCTCACCTGCCCGCGCGCGCACCTTATATGGGCATCCCTTCAGCCCGCCAGCCAATAGGAGCCCCGAACGCCGCCGTCGCTTCGCGCGCTTTGCTTCCCGCCGCTCGCTCTCCAATCCCCCTCAGCGTTCCCGCCCTTTCTAGCCGAGGGCAGCCGGGCCGGGGTCATCTGAAGGTCACGCCCGGGGTCACCCAAAGGTCACGGCCCCCCTCGCAGCCGTTGCCCCCCGGCCCTGGGGGCAGAGCCGCCCCACAGCTGATGGCACCTCGCTCGGAGCACCTGGCAGCGCTGCCCGCGGGAACTCAGTCCTTCCATTTCAGTACTGCTTTTAACTAGTGTTACCTACCGTACTGTGCATCGGGAACAGCAACACACACAGGTGCTCCTGCCTTAGCGGTGCCTGTCCACAGACATCATTAAAATAGAAATACGTACTTTCAAGGAATTCTTCTCTGCGACACCTCCCGTCTCTGCCCCTGCAGCGAAAATCCCTCAGAGAAACTGCGAGTAAGGGAAAACTGTGACAGGAGCTGAGGGCTGCTGTATGGAGGACACCATTTATTTGCTGTCTCAGGCTGTTCGTGCTCTGTAGAGCTGCTTGTGTTTTACAGCTTCTTCCCGCGGCACGGCTGGAAATGCCCACCTTTGCTCCATTCCTTTCGTCTGTCCTTGGCTACATTCTTCCTCATTGTAGCAATGGTACAAAAGAGGAGTTGGGAAGAGACCAAGCGGTGGATACAGAATAACTGCTGCTCCCACCGACGCCAAAATAGCGGGCAGCAACAGCAGGAACGACTCCGCTGCGAGGAAGAGGTTCCCTGCAGGGAGTCTTTGGCCCCGCAGGTAACCCAGGCAAACGGAGCGCCCTGGAGGAGGAAGGCAGCAGGACCCGAGGGAACCGGCTGCGTACAGCTGCTGTATGGCACCAGTGCAACCTGCTGGTTGGCCTCGGCTGCGCTGAGTGAAGGCAAATTCTCCTGGGCCACGTGCATTCGCTCCAAAAGTAATGCCTCCTATTTATTTCCACAGAAAACGCAACAGGGAAAGCAGTAACTCTGGTCGCTACAGCAAATCCTCACCCACAAAATGCTCTTTTCCAGCACAGCCACCACCATTAGCTTTGCATTTTTGCCAGCAATAAACAGGAGGCCGCGAGCTGTGCTCGTCAAAATCTGTACCAGCACACGTGAGCCACAGCCACCGTCAGCACTGCTGAAGGGCACTGCATGCTGCCCCTCTGTGAGCACACAAACAAGCGCTCAGCAAGCACAGAGAGCTGCCATTTTCTCCACAGAGAGAAATTTGGTGACACATCTTTGCTTCATGCACACTGCCTGGGTGTCAGGTGCCATTTTGTCACATGCCATGGACAACAACACGTGATGGAACACTGGTTGGAGGTTCGACCCCTGCTGCCACACCACCAAATTCACTTTTGATGTCGTGGGCCAACATTAACTCCTTAACACTCAGTGCACTACATGATGTGAAGGAGCAACAACAAACTATCGTAAAACTACAGCAAGGGATTGACCTGAAAGAGCACATGAGAACAGCAATCATAGACTCACACTGAGGCATTGCTCAAGATCTTGTCGCTTTCACCTGGTTTGGGGTACGGCTTTGCCCTGGGCTAGCCAGAGCATTTCTCAGGATCAGAACAGTAAGGTGACTGAGGTAGAAACACCACCTCAGAAACCCAAACCGCAGCAGAACCGCCGGTTTGTAGTCACCCAAGGATCGTTATGCTTGGTCACCTCTAGGAGGGTTTCAGTTTTACTGACCTTTCTAATAGCTCCATTCTAGATTGGATTTGGTAACAACTCATAGAACAAGCCAACTGACAGCTGTGATAGAATGTGTGGTTCTCTGCTGTCAAAATGCATGTTTCCTGTTCACTGTTACAGGAAAAAGTTCCAAAATTCAATATCCGAAGGTCAAGACTTTCAGAAGTACCTAAGCAACTTAAAAGCCAAAGCTCTTTTTAGGCGCTTGTAAACAAACTCAGCTTTTATACAGAGAAAGAACAGGTACAGCACCACTGCCCAGAAAATGCATTCCAACACAAAGGAGAGCAGAACATCCTAAGAACGTTAACAGGACTTTTACCATTTTTCAGGCCATTACTTCTGTTTATATATGTGTGTATATTAGTATATATATAACGTGTGTGTATATATGTGTGTATATAGTATGTATACATGTTTAAGCTATTTATTCATTAAATGGAAGTTTATCTAAGATCTGCTACAGGTTTTGGTTGTGCTGAAGCTGTGTCTGGAAAGGTGGAGAACAATAATATTTATGCCTTGGAAGACCTGATTCAGGGCATTCCTTTTCTAGTTTGAAGCTTCACTTTGCTTTTAGTTTGAAGTATTTTGAGAACTATCACATAAGATAGTTGAGATTAAGAAGTCATTGATAGCATGCACATTTATTTTGAAGCTCATACACTTCTGCATGCCCCAATGGGCCTGCTTACGTAACACTAAATAATAATACTTATGAGCCACCAGAGGGATTTCTCAAGCTAACATGACATCACAAAGGTTCTCCTCATCATGTCATAACACAGTAATTATACCACAGTAAGTATTAGGGATTATATTCCTTCAGTTCCACCACTCTTCTTACTGCCCGTGATTATTATCTATCACAAACTGAGTTACAAGCTATGAGATGGGGCTGAAGAACAGCTGGAGAATTTCTTTTTACATTCTTAAATCTACATTTTATGTTACATTCAGAAAGGAAAAAAAGAAATCAGATGGACTAGCTTTGGAGGCCATCTGCTGCCCTTCATGGATACAGCTTGTTCTTCAGGGACTTCCAGGCGCAGGCATTACAACGACAACTAGATGGATGGAAATAAACACAAGGCACTCAGAACTCCTGACGTTAACTCAATTTAAAGGGACAGATTTCCTTCTGATTTGTTTTTGTTTGGAAAAGCAAACCAGCACTGTTGGGAAGACAGTCAGTAAATGCAGACGACTGAAGAAGTATTGTCTATATTGGCTTTTCTTACAATAAATAAATAAACCAGTTTTTAAAAGTCTGCTCCTCTAAATAGGCTGCACTAAAAAAAAAGGGTTGTAGTCTGAAAAAAGGACAACTTTTCCCAGGATATACAGTAAAATAACACATCAGTCATCTTTTCTTGCAATAATCTATCACTACTCACGGGATGCCCTTACGTATATATTCAGCATACTGCATGTACTCAGAACGCAGACACTGTGCCTTTAATGTCACTTGTGCAGTGACCTGAAAGCATACTGAGCTAAATTACTTCATTTCAAGGCTAATTTGCAAAAAATAAAATAAAATAAAATAAAGCTGCACAATACATAGAATGAGCAAATAATCTATAATGGAAATTAGGCCCAAGTTTTCAAATAAAAATCCCACTTGTTTGACAGTCTAGCAGGTCCATAACTATCACTGCACACATAAAGGCAATATGGAGGAAACACTGAAAAGTCCAGCAGGTCCCAGCCAGCGTACAGCCCTATCAAAACATCACCACACCAACATTGTCTGCACTGCTACGTGGTCCTCTGCTTAGCATTCAGAGTATATTGGTCAAGACAAACGCTACATGGTCCAGCACATCCCAATCTTACACATCTGAGGAGAGGCGATTTCTGCACTCCCTCAGCAAGTGTGTGCCACTGATGTGTATCCACAGCACGCCAGTTCTCAACCAATTTACTAATTTTAATTACATAAATTGACTGAAGTGGACTGCAATGCAGAAGAGTCTTCTAAGCTTCAGCAATAATACAGCAGGAAGTGGATATTGTGAAACAGCCCTATGTCAGAATTAGTACAGAAAGGTTTTCTTCAGGCTGACAGTGATTGATTACGAGTGTAGGAGTCTGCTGAAGATTGTTCAAACTCATGAGGACTTTATTAATAGAGGCATACAGAAACATGATGCAAAATAATGGATACATAGGTTCTATTGCAAAATCCAAAATGATCTCAATTTGGTCTCAGAAACTTCAAACGTACATGGGAAAGAAGCCTCACACCTTCCATAATTCACACATCACTGTCTCACCTGATGTCTATAATCACAGCATCACAGAACTGGAGGGGTTGGAAGGGAGCTCTAGAGATTGCTTCCAAACCCCCTGCTAAAGCAAGCTTCCTACAGCAGGCTGCACAGCTACACCTCCAGAGGAGACTCCACTGCCTCTCACCTTAGCCCATTCCAGTGCTCCATCACCCTCCATCTTTCACATACTGACACAGAACTTCCCACGCTCCAGTTAACGGCCATTTCCCCTTGTCCTGTTTCCACAGACCACTGAAAAGAGGTTGGCCATGTCCCTTTGTCTCCCACACTTAAGATACTTATAAACATTAATCAGATCCCCTCTCAGTCTTCTTTTCTCAAGGCTGAACAGACCCAGGTCACCCAACCTCCCGTATAGGGAAAAAAAAGTGCTTCAGGCACTTTTATCATATGTGCACTCCTCTGCTGGGCTCTTTCCAGGAGATCCCTGTCTTTTTTGTACTGGGGAGCCCAGAACTGGATGCAGGACTCCAGGTGTGGCCTCACCAGGGCAGAGGAGAGGGAGAAGATCTCTCTTGCCCTGCTGGCCATGCTCCTTTTAATGCACCCCAGGATTCCATTGACACTCTTGGCCACAAGGGCATACACAAGGGCTCATGGCCAAACTTTTGTCCACCAGGACCCCCAGGTCCTTCACAGAGCTCCTCTCCAGAATGTCATGCAACCACCTATAGTGATACTTGCAGTTATTTCCTCCCAGATGCAGGACTCTACACCTGCTTTTGTTAAACCTCACCTGGTTTCTTACTGCCCAGCTCTCCAGCCTGTCCAGCTCTTGCTGAATGGCAGCACAGCCATCAGATGTCAGTCACTCCTCCCAGCTCTGTAGCATCAGCGTACCCGCTGAGAGCGGACACTATCTCCTCATCAAGGTAATTCATGGAGACCCTGAACAAGACCAGATCACTGACCCCTGGGGGAGCACTGCTAGTCACAGGTCTGCAACTGGACTCTGCATCACTGATCACCGCCCTTTCAGCACAACCAGTTCTCAACACACCTCACTGTCCACTCATCTATCCCACACTTTCTCAGCTTCGTTATCAAGATGACATGGGAGACAGCATCAGAAGCCTTGCTGAAGTCAACATAGACAACATCCACAGCTCTCCCCTCATCTACCCATCCATCATAGAAGGCTACGAGATTGGTTGAGCATGATTTCCCCTCGGAGAATCCACGCTGACTACACCTGATAACTTGTCTTCCAATTGCTCAGAGGTGCATCCAGAACAAGCTGTTCTGTCACTTTCCCAGGGACAGAGGGGAGACTGACTGGCCTGTAGTCTCCCAGATCCTCCTTCTTTCCCTTTCCGCAGTGACACTGGCTATCCTCCACTATTCAGACACCTCTTCTGTTCTCCAAGACCTGTGAAAGATGACAGAGAGCAGTTCAGCAACCACCTATCAGCTCCCTCAGCATACATGCACATAGCTGCACCCATGACAGCCTTCTGCTCTCTCAGGACTCAGAGGGAACTCCAGATACCGAAGCTCCCCACAGCCAATGGTCTGGACTGCCCTTCCCCCCTCAGGATGTCCACCCAGGTGCCCACACGAGACCAGAGAGGCTGTGTCCCCTTGGTCTGGGTTGCTGTCTCAGCCCGGCTACTGTGACAGGTGCCTACCGTGGTAATTTTAAGAGGCAGCAGCACCGTAGAGTTCTCAAAGGAGTAGAGAGGAGGGGAGGGGAGAAGAAGAGGGGAAGAGAGGAGAGGATCCTCCCTGCTCGCCCTCTCTGCCCCATGAGAACTGCCTGTGCTGCCAAGCACACCCTGTTTGCACAGCCTGCTCACGATGCTCCTGTGTTGCTGTGCTCCATAAGGGGAGCTGCTTTTGTACAGGCAGGGCACTGGCTGCCATCACTCCCAGCTCCACTCACACCACAGCAGCACAAGGACGGCTCCTGCATAACTGGGACGGGGTGGGAGGGGATCTGGGGGCTGTGGTGCTGACCAAGAGCTGCAGTTTTGGGGGTTGATTCTGTTTACCTGGATCTCCAGGATCCCTTGTTGCAGCTGATCCATGCGAGGTCCTCACTGTAAACAGCCATTACCTGGCCATCACTTTTGGGGTAGCCCTCGTGTTGTCACAGTTCATGTACAGATTAGCAGGAATGTAATTTTGCAACTGAAAAAAATTGAGAGAGATATCTTCAATTTGCAGATTTAAGTATCTATGTGGAAGATTTAAGAACAAGTCATCAATCCATTTACTGTATTTCCAGTAATGTCATAGGAACTTTGTCCTGTTTGACGAGCATTTGCTGTAGGCTGCTGTCAGACATAGGATACTGGGCTAGCTGAACTTTGGAACTTCATACAGACAGTTGTCAATTTCACAGTTGGCTCAAGGCTCTCTCCCAGTGCACCATACATTGTGCCTTTGTTTTTGTATAAATTGATGCATCTAGACACAGTATTACATTTCTCTAAAACTGCATACTCAGTATTTTGTGCAGACAATCCAATTTTAGCTTTTCTATAGTTATGTACAACACCTTTCTCACTGCATACAACATAAGAAGAAAACCATTTAGCACCCCCTGCATTTGCTTGGCTTCTCCCTTCATAAAGTGGGGATCAGATGTCCCCAGAAATCAACAAACACAACTGCAAACTATTTGTTTTGGACAACTTACACACATCCCTTCCCCTCAGCAGCTCCTCCACCGAAGGCCAAAACAAAACTGCAGAGAACCATTCACTCTCGGGATGGCTTCAGCTTTAAACCCTCTGCTTTTTCAAGCAGCACACCAAGGTAGAAATCCCCCATTAGCAATCTGAAAGCACTGCAACAGGCAAAGAATACTTATGTTTGCCACTGCATTTGTAGTATTTGCACACTGTCCCAGCAACTGGTGATTCCAAAAGGAGAAAGCTTTTTAGTCTGCCTTTCAAGCCTTGTAGCAGTGAATGGAAGGCTTCTTTCTGAAAGCTACTCATGTTCTATATGCTGTACTCTGCCTGCTTCCCGTGTGCACACAGCACAGCTGCCAGATTTAATAACCACGTCAGCCTGCTTTCCCCATAGAGCAGCAGAGATGGCAGGATGAAGATGCTCCCAGCGTGCTAATCTGTAGCGATGGCTCATTAAGCCCCGAATGAACATCATTTTACTGCTCTTGAAGAAAAAAATAAAATCAGTCAACACCACCTGCAGAAAAACATGCAAAAGGATTTCAGAAACGTGAATCCATACTTGCTTTCAGTGACATTGAAGTACATTATAGAAATGGCTTTTTTTTATTGTCAGCTAACAAATCCTAGGGCTTCAGTTAATTACTTCTCAAAACATCGTGACCTTTAATTAAGTATTTTGCCAAGCAACACATGCTTATACCCCAGAACAGAATCATTAGCTGACAAATCAGTCGAGAACACTCCTCTCCAGAAGGAATTATTTCCACACCTGTCTCTGCTGACCTCTTTCAGAAAAGCGGAGTTAATAAAAGGGGAAAATTCTCACTTACCATTTAAATCCTCCCATGTACAGCAGTTCCTAGAGCTCAGGACTTCCTTATCAGATGCGGTCGCTTCACTGCCTACGCAGAGCATTTCCATACCTCCATCCACACACTCAGCTCTGTAGAAGGGAGGGGCAGACAGAACTAACATGCCAAGAGAAGGTGCCAGTCAGACAGTCCAAATCCACAAACTTAGCATAAACCCAGAAACGTATGGGTGAATTTGCAACAGTGCGGGGATGCTGCAGAGATCATATGACAACCACGCACACCTCTCTCTCTCTCTCATTTCTATTCCCTTCACTTACCCTGTCTCAGCTGGGAGTGGTTTCTGCAGTAACTACAGACTGTCGGTTTTCCCCTCAGATAAAGTGTTACTGTGTGAGAAGTGAGGAGGAAGGCAGGCATTCAGCTTTCATTATGGCACAGTGCAGCAAGCAGTAGTGCATATTGAAGCGCAGAGGACTTTTCAGCCTTGTTATTCTTCCAGCATCAGGGATCTCACTACATCCACCCTGTTCAAAACTGAACTATCAGCCTCAGTGGTGTTTATTACATATTATGGAAACGGCACCACATTAAAATCGAGGAAGTGCCTGAAAGGAGCTGTGCGAGTCAGTGAGGCATGGTATGCAGTGAAGCAAAACCTTAAAAGGCAAATTGCTGCCTATATGGCTTTCCTCTCAGCTCAGAGAACACAAACCTATCCACAACAACTGCAGGGAGAGCAGATCTCTCAGATCCTATCTTTTACAAGGTTGGATAGCAATAGGACAAGGGGAAATGGTTTTAAACTAAGACAGGGGAGGTCTAGGGTTAGACATTACGAGGAAGTTTTTCACTCAGAGGGTGGTGAAGCACTGAAACAGGTTGCCCAAGGAGGCTGTGGACACCCCATTCCTGGATGCATTCAAGGCAGGGCTGGACATGGCCCTGGGCAGCCTAGTCTGGTGGTTGGTGACCCTGCATGTAGCAGGGGGCTGGAAATGGAAACCAGATTATCTTTATGGTCCTTTTCAACCCAGGCCATTCAATGATTCCATCTGGGAGAGGGGAAGATGAGGTCCCTGGTACTGGGGCTGTGCAGCCCAAGAAGGGCTTTGCCTTCTGAGTCAGCAGCTGAAGACATGCATGGCTGGGAACGACATGACGTGCTGGTCATGTAACAGATGGTCAGTGAGCCCTGTGAAGCAGGAAGGGACTATGCCTCCCTGCCAGCCACACCTGCAGAGAGCCTCTTCACTGGCAAGAGACATCACAAGTCAGAAGTTTAAGAAATCAGAGCTACATGTTCACACAAAGATCAGTCACTTCAGTATGAAAAATACTGCTGGGCAAGTGCTGTGGTTTAACCCAGCAGGTGGCTCAGCACCACACGGTTTCTGGCTCACTCCTTTTGCATCCCGGGGGGTTGGGTGAGAGAATCAGGAGGAAAAAAAAAAAAAGAAGTGGGACTCATGGGTTGAGATAGACCTGTTTACTTAGAGAATTGTAAAAGGATAACAACTATGAATTCATATATACATATGAATGAATATAACAAGCGATGCACAAAGCAATTGCTCCCCACCCCCTGATCCATACCCAGCCAGCCCCTCAAGCAGCAGAAGAGCCCAATGAACTCCCCACTTCAAGTCCTTCCACATGCCATACGATATGGAATATCCCTTCGGCCAGTTTCAGTCAGCTCTCCTAACTCTATTCCCTCCCAGCTGCTTGAGCACTTTGATGAGAATGGCCTTGGCTTCTGTGCAATGCTGCTTTGCAGCAACTATAAATATCGGTGTGTTATCAACGTTGTTTTTCTTCTGGAGCCAAAACATACCAATACACCAGATATTCTGAAGAAAAGAATTCCATCCCAGCTGAAACAAAGACAGGAAATGGGTACAGCTCTACCTTTGAAGTATCTGTGTTCTGACTCAGTGGGTCACTCTCTCCAGACCTGCAGATCTCACAACTTAGATTAGCACAGCATGCATTAATACACATGGGCTCTGAACTTAAGATATTTTGCTTTCTTCCCCAGTGCAAAGTCCATCATTCTCATGATTTGAGATTTTTTTCCCCCCAGTAAATATTTGAAGTCAGTCTCCTCTCCTTTCCTGGATCAAGTAGTATTATATCAGAATGTCAATAATTAGGTTTCCCTGGTTTCTTTGTTCTTGGTGCAAGGTTGTCTTGCCTTGGACCTAAAACAGCCTCCCAGCCGTACTGTCCACTTGCAACCTGATGGTTTTCCTTGTTTCACACGGGATGGATGCAGAGCTTTAGGCTGCAGGATAATATTCCCATTTTCAATCCAGAATACTTTAAAGACTGCCTGATTTTCTCTTCTATCACTGGACCAGATAAAAGTTCCCAATCCCAAATATTGCCACTTTACACTGTTTTATTTGATTCTTTCTGTACTCATTCTAGCCAAATCAAATGCGTATGGAACCAAATGTTTTACAGTGAGGTTTTTTTTTGTTATTTTAAGTCACACAACATCATCATTAGTATGTTAGCTAATGATCCTGATCTGACTTGTAGACACAGAATGGATACAGTAGAAAGAGGCTGCACTGAGTTCATACAGCTCAAGTAAAGGAGGCTACATTAAGGTGACCACAAACAGAAGAGGAGAATTTGACATTTACCATCTGAAACTGTAGAGTCCCAACATTCATCCATGCTTCACTATTTTATCTAGAGAGGCAGGAAGAACAGGTACATAACCATTAACATTATAATTGAAGAGGGGGAAACAGTTATGCAGGATTGCACAGAAGAGAGGATTTCTAATGCAGTCCAGAAACTGTCCAAGTTCCCTTCTTTCTCTGCTAAGATCTGGGTGGTACTGATTAGCAGAAGTTCAGAAGACGAAAAGGAACTGCTGAGGTTGTCTCATACACGGAGAGCACCACAACCAAAAGGCAGAGCAGAGCTTTTTAGCTGTTCCACAGCTTCAGCCTCATCTAAGACTTCCACTGTTGCAGGTTCTGCCTTTGACAGCCATTTACATTCTCAAACACATCTGAAAATGTTCTAACAAGATTACCTCCCAGCAAGGAACTCTCAAACACATGCAGCATCCCATTACCAGGAGTCTACTCAGCCTTTATGATTATGTAGTGCTTGGTTTGCTTACCATTACTGAAGGGCAGCAGGTAGAACTGAGTTATTGGTGTGCACACACTCAGGTGAAACAAGTTGTCTGCTCAGGGAGAAAGTCTAGCTTGGCTCAGCTTCTACCGACAAGAGGCCCATAGGGCAGCAGGTTAAATCAAGTGGAAAAAATAAACCCAACAGTCTAACTTCTCATAGCACATACGTAGCCTCCAAACCCCATTACGATCGCACTCTGTTTTCTTTAGTATGTTATGTGTCAAAAATTATCATGGTTTAGCAGGTACGGTTCCCACCTTGTGGAAACCCACCCCAGTTATATTTAATTGTACCATTAAGGCTTTTCTGAGTAGCTAGATGTATGCCACGTCATGGGAACAAACCTTATGTTTTCAAAGAGCAAATTTTAGTCTGCTTAGCACCTCAATTCTGTCCGAATAAGTGAGAAATTATCTCCACAGACACTGTAAAATAATTGAACTGGAGGCTAAGATTCACACAAGTCACCTGTCAGCCCTTTCAAGCAAGACTTCTCTCTGCAGCAGGTAGCTTCACACCATCCTGACTTGAAATAGGGCTTTGATGCCTAATACAAAGAAATAAACAAGTCTGTGTAGAAAGGACCACCTGTAAGTCAGGAGGAAAAGATAAACAGCAAGAAAAGAATTCCCAGCCTAGAGATGGTTCTTACATCTTCATTTACAAAACATTACTGCCTTGGTCAACAACCCAAGCCCTTTTAATCCTCTCCATCCATGAGGAGTCCTTATCCTTTGTCTTAGAGCTAGAGCTGTGAATAAAGGAAGATAAAATCTTTGTAAAGTGCTTCACCCACCTGTGACAGCTTCCCATGACTGCATTCTTCTGCGAAAGCAGGACTACTTTCCCCAAGCAGCAGGCATTTGTCCTCTAGCACTCACCATTATAGACCACTTGGGGATCTCTAGTTAAAAACAGATGTGAAATATTACAGCACTTGCTTTAAGAAAAAAAAACAACAACAACAAAAAAAAAACACCTCAGCTCTCATTTCAGTGAAACTGATACATGCTTATCAATTCCCAGAATCTTCAAGGATAACTCAAAATCTCTGATTACAATGCTTTAAAACAAGTTTAAAGATCCAAAAGCATTGCAGTACAGCACAATAGCAAGTACAGCAACGACAGCAGAGCAGCAAGGCACCAGGCTACAACATGCAAGGATTTACCCAAACGTGACAACCACAGAAACAAAGAAAAGAGCCTACTCACCCTTAGAAGACCTCAGCTACACAAGGAACTCCAGAAAGAAATCCTCACCTCCACTGCCAACCCCTAAATGAGGTCTGGAAAGGGGTGGATCCTGGCTCCAGCCCTTTTGTAAGCAGCTGAGCTCCTCTGGGTTGGGCAGGTGCTCAATCACTGCTTCAAGCTGTGACTCAGCATTTCTGCTACACCCAGGAGGTAAAAACACAAGTGAAAACATCTGCCAAAGAAACCTCCTATAAAATTCCATTACAAAAATTTATTTAGGACCAGCGGGGGCCAAATGCTGTTTAGTGAGACAAACTGAACGCTCTAAATAAATAAGTTAGTCCCACAGCATCCTCTTCTCTGCAACAAGCCACCCAAAGGTTGTGCTTACAAAGATGTGTCCCTTTAACCCGTGACATGGGTGTGCAAACCAACATGAGAGTAGATGGAAGAACGCAGACAAGACAAGAATATTTTGTGAGAAACCAGGCAAAATCCAGCTAAGATAATTAACAGCACGAAGAGTTCTCTTAAGAAGGGCTAGTTCTCATTTCAAATTAGGACAGTAAAACTGATTTATGATATTGAGGTTGAAATGCAAAAGGAAAGACATACAATGGAAACAGTCAATCCTATCTTGCTACACATGCATTACTCGAGGAAGGAAAGCAACTGAGCTCAAATCTATGCTCTGCTGCTCACAGTGTTTGCTAGCTGGCAAATAGATATTAACTGAGTTAAATGTTTAGGGATTTGACATTTGTTGGCAGGGAGAAAGTTCATAATCAGCGTTCCTTGCAGCTGCTGATACTCAGCCAACAGACCCATACTATGATGTCAGTGGTCAGAATGAGGGTCCCATTAACACTTGTACAGGTGCCCCCAGGTCCTGACATTCCCATCCTTAGGCAGTGTGCCCACACCACGGATGTCTCTGATGTAGGACTACCACATACCCAACGCTGGTAGGAGTCTTGGTGCTGAATCCTGCAACCTGGACAAGGATGGCAGGGATGAGAGCTGCCGCTGTGGGTGGGAAGCTTCCCCAGGCACCACAGGCAGGAAATGCCCATGTTTTTTTTTCACAGGGCAGTGACCACAACTGTGACTGCGCAAAGCCCTTCCTGTTCAGAGCTCACTCATTAACTGAACAGCCTACAGGGAGGTCATGCATTCCCTGCATTCCCATGTATGCAGAACCTCCATTGCCCCACCTTCGCCTGGCACCAGCCCCAAGATCATTCCTGTCCCCCACCACCAGAGAGCCTGGTCTCTCTCAAGCCCTACAGGACAGGGCTTAGTGTTCCTAGGCTCGTTGCTGCCACCTAGAATCTGCCCTACATCCTGAAACAGAGAGCAAGCTCTGCCTGCTATAACTGCAAACACACATCAATACAGCTGCATGTGGGTATGCTTGCTGTCAGGATGGAGTGGCTCAGCAGACGAAAGCAGGTGCACAGCAAGAACTACTTTTATTGGAAGAGAGCTGCATCTACAAAAGAGTGAAAAAACAGGTGTAAAATTCACGGTAAAAAGAAGGGGCACACTGAG